GGGAACGGGACGACGACTAAGAGCTAAGATGAGCAATGGTGGGCCCTGGTTGCCTCAGGGAGACCTGCTCCCTCTTTCCCCCCAGGGTACTCGTGAGCAGGGGGAAATGAGGAATATGTGGACAGAAGTACAGAGGGGGAGAGAGAGACAGACAGAAACACAGGACAGCCTCCGGAGGGCCTGGGACAAAACCCACCAGCCCCTTCTGCCTCTTCTAACGGGCTTTTAAAGGAATGCCCAGGGGTGGAGCGAAAGACCTCCCCCCAGCACAGCCAAGTGCAGACCGTCTCAGACACCTGGTGACCATGCACATGGTCAAGCCATCCCCTAATGCGGCCCTGCTGTGTAAAGCAAGTTCAGATCTCACTAGGAAGCTTTTGTGGGCTCCCACAGTTGCTAGAAGAATTGCGGGCGCTGCTAAGCCTTAAAGGCCAAAGGTCTCAGCCCTGTCGATGGAACACTAGTCACTGCCCAGGGCTCAGGGTCCTGCCACTCTAGGCCCCAGAGCCAGCAATCAGCAGCGGCCATTCCTTATGATTGCGTGCTCAATGTCAGGCATTCCAACTGTATGAGGGCGGCTGGAGCCCAGAGGAACAAGCGAGCCTCCTTCCTGAGTTCGTCAAGCCACAGAGCTTTCACATCTCAAGTCTGGAGCAAGAGGTATGTCCCTGTGGGAGTGTGAAGCTGTAAGCCTCTGGACTTGCTAGTCCAGCCCCAAGGCTTTGGGCACTCAAGGCCCTAGGGTGTCCACAAGGAGAAGAGCTCTCTCACTTACCTAGCCATAGTTAAACTCAGGTAGACAGCGAAGGACCCAGCTGATGGGAACAGAGAAATTCAGCCTAGGGGTGAAATACATGGGCTTGGAAGCTGGATCCAGACACGGGTCCTCCTACTATTGGATTGGCTTCCTTACGTCTTTGTAACTGGAGGAAAATGAACTTGGGGAGTTTGTTTTCTGGTCAGAGCAGCTGGGATGCAATTTGAGGGCTACTTGCTCAGATCTCTTTCCCACATCTCTCTCTTCCTAAAACCATACCAGAGTAGAATATGAAAACTCTCTTGCCATTTACCTGCTCTGGCTGTCAAGGAAGTTTCTCTCATGTCTGACTGAATTCTCGGCTGCTGCAAGCTTCCCTCAAACGATTTTGTCTTTGGAGGAGACAAACAGGATCCACTTCTTCTAACCATCTTAGCTGTCCAGATCGGACCACACCTTGTCATTTCCACACACCAAGCTCGCCAGGTTAGCAAAGCAAATCCCGGGGCGGCACTATGGGAGGCTGGCTGAGTTATGATACAGTAATGCTTGATTTCAGAATCTGAATATTACTGTTGTCATTTTGTGGTGGTAGGACCTGACTACATCACTGGATTCGCCTGGTTAAGACCAGGTATTACTCTTGTAGAGGACCCGAGATGGAGTCCTAGCACCTATGCTGGGCAGCTAGCTCACAACCACCTGTAACTCCAGCTCCAGGGAGATGAGCCGATGTCTCAGGCTTCCACCAGTACTATGCATTTATGTGCGCGCGCACGCACGCGCGCGCGCGCACACACACACACACACACACACACACACACACACAATTAAAAGAACAAAAGAAATAAGAAAACCTCTAAATCCTTGGTGAATGCAGGGATTATTACACAGAGGCTATTCTGGATAAATTACATTCCGCACTCTGTTCAATTCTGTAGTGCAATTCACAAATGGCAGTAGTCTAATGCGGCTAAGGCCATTCTTGGTAACTCTCCCCGCTGCACCTGCGGGCCATCGCAGACACTCCCTTTGGGGGCTTCGAACACTTGCACCCCCCGGAGGTGAGCAGCAAGTAGCTTGGCTTTAGCAAGCTTTCCCTTCCCAAGAACACATCCCACACGAAAGGACCGGCCTGCCCTATGACATCTTTCCCCTCACCTGTCCATAACCTGATGAGCACATTCTAGAACTTAGGAGGGCGTTCCAAATCTGTCCACTTGTCACTGCAACGGACGGGTAGCAACTAGGAGGCCGGCAGGAACGTATTGGTTTCCTAGCTACCGTTACCGCGTGTGTTTTTAGGTGTACTTTCTAGGCTTCAGGGGCAGGCCACACTGCGAAAACCCAACCTCCTCAAGAGAGTTAACAAGACTCAACAACTGAGCCTGGAAAGCCCATCTGCACTTATGGTATAACTCCAATGATTGCCATTGCAGTTTCTTTTCCAGGAATCCGGGACAAAACCGGCTTCCGTACCCCTCTGTTGACAACTTTGGCCGTGACTTTGATCGGACTGGATAAAGAAGAGAAAGGCGCCCCTCGACCCGCTGGATGCTCACAGCAGTCACCGCAGGACCTGGGTGGGAGCCCCACCGCCCGCAGGGAAGGGGTGTCCCGGGCTCACACAGGCCTGAGCCCCCCTTGGCGGGAAAGAGGGATCCCGGGCTCGGGGACCCGGTTGGGACCCGGAGCCCGACTCACCTGCGTGGCCTCCAGCCGTGCGTGCACCTCCCGCATCAGGAATGGTTCCAGGCCGCGGCCCGCGGTGCAGAAGAACCGGACACCGCCTGCCGCGGGGTCAGCACCCGGTTCGGCCCCGGCCGCCGCCATGGCGCTGCGGCGCGGCCCCGAGACGCGGTCACGTGAGCTCGGGCGCGCGCCCTGGCGCTCTCGGGGGTGGGGGGACGGGGACGCGCACCGCCCGGCAGCGGCTTCGCGGGAGCGCCCCCTATGGGTCGTCCTGGAAACGACAGCTCCTTCTGCCACCAGGCAGGGATCCTAGGGATGCCATCCTTATAACTGTCTTCACCAAAGACTGGGCCAACCCACCCGGTGAACCGGGACCAAGAGCAGAAATGCTTGTTCTCCAACAGAATGTCTTCATGTTCCCGAAACTTGCTGCATTTCTTGCCCTTGGCCAATCGTCTAGGTAAATAGCGAATGTGCCACCCAGTTTAGTCTACCCGATTTGAGTAACTAGTAACAGTATCTAGATGATTTTTTTTTTTAAATCTTGAGTTTTAAAATGACAAAGAAAATACGATATAGGTAGAATAAAATCTATCTCTAATTCGACAGCGTTAAATCAGCCGTGTAGTTCCGTATTGAATCAGTTATACAGAAATTGTTAAAGGAATGTTTTGGAACATCTCTCCCTCATGGTCCAGAAATGGATGCTGTCTTCCGCCCGTGTCCACTGGCTAGCTCGTGAAGGGTTGGGGCAGTAGGACACAGTTCCTCACGGAGTCCTGTCTCCTGAGCTTTTCAGAGAGTCAGTCCTAAACTCTCAGACTGGTTCATTTGGGGAGCCACCACA